GACCTCGTGATCCACCCGCCTCGGCCTCCCAAAGTGCTGGGATTACAGGCTTGAGCCACCGCGCCCGGCCCATTCATTTTTATTTTAAGACGTGGTTTAAATTGCAATTTTTACTTTTAAGATTTGGTCTGCCAGTTAGTTTTTATTCTATTTTTTCCTTTTAATACTTACTTTTATTTTTAGCTCCTTTAATTGTTCCCTCTGAGTTTGGAGTACTTTCAGCTATTCTCATTTGTGTTATGTCTGTGTAGGTATCATACAGTCTTTTACCAAATACGTTTTTTAAAAAGATTGTTTTACATATATATAATATATATATCTTTATGGATGAAGCATTCCTCATCTATGGAAGATCAGTGCTATTATGGGTCACGCTTTTTGGGATATGTTCCCTCTGAAGCACATGGCAGGAGAGCCCCGAGGTGCTCAGATGGAATAGTGTGTTTGAACAACAGCAAGTCCCATCAATCAGCAGTGGGGAGACAGCGTGTCCCATGAGCAGGGTGTGGGGAGGACGGCGTGTCCCGTGAACAGAGTGTGGGGTGTGTCTCATAAACTGGGTATGATGCTGGTTATGTGTCACATGAACAGGGAGCGAGGTGGATGGTGTGTTGTATGAACAGGGTGCATGGTGGGCAGTGTGTCCCATGAATAGGGTGTCATGTGGATGATGTGTCTCATCAGTGGGGTGTCATGTGGATGGTGTGTCTCGTCAGTGGGGTGTGATGTGGATGACGTGTCTCATCAGTGGGGTGTCACGTGGACGACGTGTCTCATCAGTGGGGTGTCATGTGGATGGTGTGTCTCATCAGTGGGGTGTCATGTGGATGACATGTCTCATCAGTGGGGTGTCATGTGGATGGTGTGTCTCGTCAGTGGGGTGTGAGGTGGACGACGTGTCTCATCAGTGGGGTGTCATGTGGATGACGTGTCTCAGTGGGGTGTGATGTGGATGGTGTGTCTCATCAGTGGGGTGTCATGTGGATGATGTGTCTCATCAGTGGGGTGTGATGTGGACGGCGTGTCACATCAACAGGATATTATAGTTTCAAAGGTTTACGGAGTGAAAGGCCGAGAGAAGGGGTCGCCAAGAATGTCACTGAATCCTGTGGAGCTGTTTAAGTCTGGATATTACAGGGTGATGAGTTGTCACATGTGGCTGTGGAGAGCCGTGTGTGTAGGAGGTGGAGGGGAGCAGTGAGGCCGATGGCAGGAGAGGCAGGGGATGAGAGGAAGCTCGTCAGCTATGGAGAGATGCATGGTTTATTGCAGGGATCAGGGAGGACCCCGCCTAGCCAGGACATCGTGCCAGGGAGGAACGTTCCGTGAAGCCACACGTGTGGTTTCCATCACAGGGGAATAGAAATAAGACACGAGGGAGTGATCCTGCAAAGGAAGACGGGCCACATGCACTCAGATCCTCGCCACAGCCCTAAGCAGCTTGGTCTATTCCATATTAAGCAACTGCAGCTGTGAGAAGCTGTGACTTACCTGAGGTCACCTTAGCAGGTGGCACGGCCAGGATTTGACTCTGGGTTTTGTTTCTGGACTCATGGTGTACACTACCTCTGGTAATCTGAAAAGACAAGTTTCTAAGGGACAGTCCTTTTACATTGAAGAATCTAAAACACTGACTGTGTGCTTTGATGCCTCGAAGGGAGGCCCTTCCCTTTCCCTTGTCCCGCCAGAGAATATTCCTTACACACCTGCAGTGCTAAGCTCTCCCTTGTCATACGGTTAACATGTATGCACATGGAATTTTAAAAACTATAGGCCAAGTTTGTAAATAGATTTTTATTAAACCAGACTGGTCTTGGGGCCAGTGATGCTTGTTTCGGGCACCCTCCGTTTCATTTAGTCTTCATGAACAGGAAGTCAGGGGCCTCTGATCTTGCTTTCCACATGGTTGAAGTCCAGGCTGAAATAGGAGTGCATGAAGGAGTGAATATTGGCCTACTGAGAAAACCAACATCTTAGTGGATATGAGCAGGAGAGCAAGTAATTTCTGCTTTTCTTAGAGTGTTGGATACAGTCCTGGATAGCTGTAAAAATGGGTGGGTTGTCCAAATGTCTCGAGTTAGATAGATTTGAGGATGGAATAGATGAACTTATAATGTGTATGATTATGATTAAATGATTTAGTGACTCTTATCTGGTGAAGTTCCTAAAAGAAAAAAGGAAATTCCCTTCTCCCCCGGACACCGCACGTACACCGTGCACACAGAAGCATCTGCTAAAGTTTTATGTGAGCTACCTGACAGTTGCTCCTGTGTGGAGGCTGTGGCTTCATTAATTTCCACCAAGCATTTGTAAAATGGGATTAATTCAAAGAAAATTAAACTAATGGTTTAATTAATGTAATTACTTGAACAGTAATGCAATGTAATTACTATAAAATAAATGAAGCAGAGCATTAGAGCCATGAAAGAAATTTATGACATCATTTGTGATTTTATTTTTAAGCTCTTTTAAAAATAAATCTCTATTAGGCCAGTTTGTCATCATGACACTGTGGGCAAAAATGTGCTGTTACAATGACAGTTTAATTTGAAACAGAATTTCACATATTATAGATACTTTTAAAGCATTAAACATTTTGAGCTGAGAATTTATTAAAATATGCCTCTTAGGAATTTAAGTGTTTCGATGCTAATTGAAAGTGATCTGTGGGAAAAATAAATTTGCCTTCATACTTTAATTTGGACGAATACAGCCAATTTTTAAAGAATTTGCTTTTATAATACTTTATCTGAAATTCCTAAATAAATGGCACAAATGTGCCATCGTGACTGCTATGGGCTGTTTCATTTCACATGTTGGGAGGTGACAGTTTAATTAACTTATCAAGCTTATGAGCAAAAGTCACTGTATTGGGTACATCCTAGGATGCAAATATGAGGAAATGCACTCAGGTGGTCCACAGCCTGGAGACACAGGGAAGCCTGGCTTGCAGGTCAATAGGACAGGGGGCAAAAGCTACTGTCCCTCCCCCTGGGGCTCCCTCCATCCCCTTCTAGCACACCCCTTTCCTCACTGCTTCTGGCTGTGTGTGTACTCTGGTGTTGCGGCTTACTCTAGTGTGGTATTTTTGGCGTTTCCTGTCTCAATTCCTGTGTCCCCTGCCCCAAATATATGCGCTTAATATGTAAGTTGAATTGAATTTATTATAATCTAATCTGAGTAAAAAGCAGCGTATAAAGAGCTTTCAAAGGAGGAAGCCCTTACCTCTAGGTGAGCAAATGAGGAAAGGCTTCTGGCATTTCTACGTGAGATAGACTCGGGAGAACAGGCAGCATTTAGAAAGTTGTTGTGAGGAGCAATTGGAGGCAGAAGGAATGGTAAGAAACAAAGGCCGAAGAGCCTCAAAAGAAAAAAACATCTTTGTAGGACATCTTTTAAAATTGGACTAACGTACCTGGGAGCAGTGGCTCGCAGCTGTAATTCCAGCACTTTGGGAAGCTGAGGTGGGTGGATGGCTTGAGCTCAGGAATTCAAGACCAGCCTGAGAAAAACGGCAAAACCCTGTCTCTACGAAAATACAAAAATCAGCTAGGTGTGGTGGCGTGCACCTGTGGTCCTAGCTACTTGGGAGGCTGAGGAGGGAGGATCGTTTGAGCCCTGGAGGCAGAGGCTGGAGTGAGCCAACATCACAGAACTGCACTCCAGCCTGGGTGACAGAGCAAGACTCTGTCCCTCCACCAAAAGAAGTGACTAGAGTTATTTTTTCTGTAATTAAATATGTGTTGTTATATTAATTTAGAAAAGTATCAATTAGACTAGGGTTTAAGTTTTGTAACATAAGTTCTTCATAAAAATCTATAGAATTTCTGCATTTTCCTTTGGTCCAAGGTGAGGGAGTTGCAGAACCTGAACGTTTCTGTGGTGTAAGACACTGTCCATGGTACTGGTCACAGATCGTGACATCTCATGCTCAGCACTGCCTGGAGAGGAAGATGCTCATTATCCCATCCTCTAGGAGAGGAAACCGAAGCTTGGTGAGGTCAAGTAACTTGCCCCTGTTGGACAATCAGTAAGGAATGAAGCCACATTCTCATCCAGAGGCCTGACCACAGAGCCCTCTTTCTCTCAATACCTGTGCTGTGGGATGAACAGAAGCTAGAGGCCCATTGAGGGCTGCTGAAGGACTAGAGAGGGAGTGAAGACTTGGAACTTAAGGAAGTTGTGGCTGGCTTGAGAAATAATGTAATATGAGATTTTGCAGGTGATGTAGAAGGCTCCAGAACAACAGATGCAATGCAAGTATTCTGATCTCAGGACTTTTAATTCAAGAGAAGAGAAACCAGCGTTTTGAACGACAGCCGTTTTGAGCATGGAACAGGCCGTGTTCTGGGGAGGTGGGAACGTGTGAACCTTGGACTTGATATGATGGGTAGCAGTGGGCTGGCTTCCTGCTGGAACGGGCTCCACTTCATCTGCAGGGCGGTAGCCGCTGTGACATCAGGTCATCAGAGTTGCAGGAGAGGCTCCTTGTTTAACAATTGTAACAGAAAATCCAGTGTGAACTGGTGTTCACTGCATTTTCTTTTTTATTTTTATTTATTTTTTAATTGTACTTTAGGTTGTGGGGTACATGTGCAGATCATGCAGGACTGTTGCATAGGTACATACATGGCAAGGTGGTTTGCTGCCTCCATCCCCCCATCACCTATATCTGGCATTTCTCCCCTTGTTATCTCTCCCCACCCCCAACTGTCCCTCCCCTAGTCCCCCCAACTGACCCCAGTGTGTGATGCTCCCCTCCCTGTGTCCATGTGTTCTCACTGTTCAACACCCGCCTATGAGTGAGAACATGCGGTGTTTGGTTTTCTGTTCTTGTGTCCATTTGCTGAGAATGATGGTTTCCACATTCATTCGTGTCCCTACGAAGGACACGAACTCGTCATTTTTTATGGCTGCCTAGCATTCCATGGTGTATATGTGCCACATTTTCTTTACTCAGCCTATCGTTGATGGACGTTTCCTAAACGTTTCTCTTTCAGGAAACATCTTCGTGGTGAGCTTAGCGGTGGCAGACCTGGTGGTGGCTGTTTATCCGTACCCGTTGGTGCTGACCTCGATATTTAACAATGGGTGGAACCTGGGGCACCTGCACTGCCAAGTCAGTGGGTTCCTGATGGGCCTGAGCGTCATCGGCTCCATCTTCAACATCACCGGCATTGCCATCAACCGCTACTGCTACATCTGCCACAGCCTCCGCTACGACAGACTGTACAGCAGCAAGAACTCGCTCTGCTACGTGCTCCTCATCTGGCTCCTGACGCTCGTGGCCGTCCTGCCCAACCTCCGCGCGGGGACCCTCCAGTACGACCCCAGGATCTACTCCTGCACCTTCGCGCAGCCCGTCAGCTCTGCCTACACCGTCGCCCTGGTGGTTTTCCACTTCCTCGTCCCCATGGTCATTGTCACCTTCTGCTACCTGAGAATATGGATCCTGGTTCTCCAGGTCCGACGCAGGGTGAAGCCTGACCACAAGCCCAGGCTGAAACCGCAGGACTTGAGGAACTTCATCACCATGTTCGTGGTGTTCGTGCTCTTTGCCGTTTGCTGGGCTCCTCTGAACTTCATTGGTCTGGCCGTGGCCTCCGACCCGGCCAGCATGGTGCCCAGGATCCCAGAGTGGCTGTTTGTGGCCAGTTACTACATGGCATATTTCAACAGCTGCCTCAATGCCATTATTTACGGGCTGCTGAACCAAAACTTCAGGGAGGAATACAGGAGAATCATCGTCTCGCTCTGTACAGCCAAGATGTTCTTTGTGGATAGCTCCAACGATGTGGCAGATAGGGTTAAATGCAAACCGTCTCCACTGATGACCCACAAGAATCTGGTAAAGGTGGACTCCGTTTGAGAAAGCACCCCCTTCCTGGCCAGACGCATGTGCTGCTCGAGGCCTGGCTCCTCTCCGCATTTGCTTTCCTGTTGACAGAAGTCTAGGAAAACAGAGTGATGGAGGAGGCTTCCAACTTTCACCTGGGTGCTGTCGTAGTTTCTGAGTTAAAGTGCTGTCAGCTTTCTGAATACATCTCCAATCTATGGGTCAAGACAGTTACACATTGACTGAGGAATGTGATTCAGGGCTTGGGGAGAGTCGGCTGCTGAATGCATTCAGGTGAAGAAGGAGTGTGCAAGCATACACTGGAAGTGTCACAAAGGGAGCAGCTGCATTCTTCTCCACTTCATGAAGATTTCTAGTGGAAAAACAAACAGAGAACTTTATTTATAAATGGATCGATTTTTTTTTTTGTAAATGATACAACAAAAGGAAAGGCTGAACATAAATCAGTTTATGGCTCATCAACAATCACAACCGCAACCAATACCACAGACTTTCAGTTGGCAGAGTTAGCAGTGCGTAGCCATACTCATGGTCATAAATGTTTGCTGCTCTATCATACAAGTTGTGCATGCAACCAGATAAATAACTAAATTATAGGCTGAGCACGGTGGCTCACACCTGTAATCTCAGCCCTTTGGGAGGCTGAGGCCGGCAGATCACCCGAGCTCAGGAGTTCCAGACCACCCTGGGCAGCATGGTGAAACCCCGTCTCTAATAAAATGTAGCAAAGCTGTCACATACTAGAATAAATTACTGACTTGCAACTATATACATAAAACAAAAAACAAAAAGTTAACTGGATATATTTGCTAATGATTCTTTTCATTAAGCATATTTGGAAAATACCAAATTATGGTTGGGGTGTGTGTGTGTGTGTGTGTGTGTGTGTGTGTGTGTGTAAGATGTCTACAAAACTTTACCCGAGTTCTAGTTCTTATCAAAATCAAACTTAAATAGTAAAGATAATATTTAGGCCAGTGTTGCAAATTTCAGATAACCAAACCTTAGAAAATGAACCATGCTCAACTGAATACTTTCTGCAGTTTATTTTATACCCTTTTCCGGATGCTCGGTATGAATCGCTATGTTGCTAAGTGTATACAGTGTGATTCCTTTGCTTTTTTATGGAATTTTATTCACGTATTTCTAGATTGTACTATATTTGAATTGTATGTCAGCAAACATAGTGAATAAAAAACTGTGCCCTTTAAAAAGCTGCCAGGAGTATCTTACTTGAAAATCAAGTGTGTAACTTTAAAATATTGAAATGATTTTTCACTATCATCAGATAGTTAAAATACTGCCAATGAAACAGCTACTCATAAAGATCAAAGACCCAGGTTTCTCCTACTAGAATCCCCATGTAGGAGTCTCATAATCATTCCTTCAAGGTATTTTCTCTGTTCCTTACTGTGATGTCAGTAAGTAGAGCGCCCTTTGCTCTGTGTTTTTTTCTTTTTGAAAAACTTAAATATATGATCCGTTGTGCTTGATATTTTTAGTGTATAAATTATTCTGTAGTCTGTTTGGAAGATTAACTCTTTCAAGATCATTAGATTAGAACTTATCAAATGAACTGTTGTGTAGTACCAGTGGGTACCTGGGTGGTATCGTGTAGTATCGCTGGAGATGCGCTTCTTATTTAAGGAAGCAGACTTTTTCATGAAATCTACTAAGCTGCGTTAATCGGCTATCGACATGTAATAAGTATCTGCAGTCTATCAGAGTCACTTGTTTCCAGTGTAAGTGTCTTCGTCAGTCTCCTCTCTGCCTATGGGAATACTAGTGATGATGTAAGGCTTGATAAGAAGATAGTGATATTTGCCGTGGCATATTTGCAAATTCTAGGATTATTTTTACTTGTCTATAGCTGGGATTTTAATGCCTAGACTGGAGGCTTTGTGAAGCCAAAAATAGTACCTGTGTTATAACAGAGAAAAAAAATGCTACTTTTCGAAAGCACTCAGTGGGATCTGAGTCTCTGGCTAGGCAAAGTCTATACAAGGCCACTGGATGTGGAATAAGGATCAGCATCTCTTACTGTCCTGTCTTCTATCAGTTACTGGAATCCTGTGCAATTACAAGCATTCCATAATTTAAATACGGACATTAACATCCAGTTGGATTGCATAGACCGAAAACTTTGACCATTCTAATTTACATAGATTATTTGAATATTATCACTGGAGAGCTTGATTCGGTTGTATTCTCCTATGGAAAATCTAAATCATGTAGGATTAACTTTTTTGACTTTAGTGAATGTAACTTTTAAACACATATTGTTATGTTTTTCTTATACCTGTTGGAACAGATTAACTGGGGACATACTCCCTATACTATATTATGTAAGCTTCATAGTTATATAAAATATGGTTTTTCTTTGTTTACAACTAAAGAGTTAATAGATATTATAGATTGGAGAACAGAATAACTTCAGTTTGCTCTATTGGGTGTCTCATTACCAAATATGTGTGTATGTGTAAATCATTGACATGCATAAGCAGTCACATATTTTTCTGACAAAGCAGCAGAGCAACTTGATTTTAAATATGCTGGGAGGCAATTTGACAGGATAATCAATCTTAGATCTTAAATCTATAACTGCTTAGTGATTAAACACATTCAACATGAATGTCAGGTAATGAATTTTGATCATTTTTTGGACTACCTCTGATTCATCACCAAATATTTCACTGTGAATAAGCAAATAAATTTGGAATATGTTTTTAAGTCAGTTTAAAGACTGAATTATTATATTTGGGGATTATGTGAACATACAACATAATTTTCAAAATTTCTTGTTCTATCCTTTTACTTTTTTCTACTTTTATGCTTATAATTATGATTGTGTATAGTATAAAAAGTCCTCTAATCTCCACAATGGTAGCATTTGCTTTGCTATATTGATTACAAGTTTTTGGAAATCTCCGGAACGTGTAGGGGAAAATTTAGGGAATAAATGAAAGTAATTTTAGTTGTGTCAAATATTTATGTTGCTGATAAATGCATACTTATTTTATCAAAGGTCTTTAGAAGACCAAAGATTGAATGTCAACTAAATTTGTAAAATATAGGAAAAGACCAAAAGGGAGAGATAGCTAACCAAATTCTTAATAGCCATGTAAGGTAACGATAATTAACAAGGTAAACATTTAGTAATACACTAAATGATTACCAAGAGACTGTTGTGGTGGTTGCAGTGTTTAGAGGGTTGTGATGGAAGTTCTTGTGCTGTCTGTCGACTGACTGCCTATTAGGACATCCCTAGTTGGGGTCACTTCACACTCATCTACCCCCAGAAGAACAATGAAGTTAAGTGTGCTGAACCTTGCTTGAAAGTGGTAAAGGAAAATTTAAATCAATGGAACTACAAAATCATAAAGAATAATGATTTTAGAATCATTACCCCTAATCATATATATATTTTTTTCTTCTCTGGAACAGAACAGTTTAATAGAAACAACTATTTAGGATTGTTTTTTACTGTTAACAGAGTTTAATGTGAGAGAACAAATTTGTGTATGTTGCCTGTGTGTGTCTGTGTTGCCTGTGTGTGTCTGTGTGCATACTGTGTATTTTAGCTAGCTAGCTGCTTTTTGTTTCAGCTGTAATGTTGTTGATCTTAGGGAATATGAACAGCCTTTGAAGAGATAAAAGATCATTTAGATGCTGTGTGTGTTGTTAGTAATAATGAAATAATGCATTGTTCCTAGAAAAGAGTACCTTTATTATGAGGACACATTTCTGTGTTCTGATTACAGGACAATATGATGAACATGCCTGTTTTAAAACCAATTGATTACCATTGCTTTTAAAAGGAGACACTTGTCTTTGTCTTTTTCTGTGATAATCTGGTGCTCCAATTTCTGATAGAACTGTTATGTTGCAGTGTGTGGAGCAGATGTATCTAGTTTAGTAAGGAGAAGTAGAGAAATTAAAAAAATGAATGCTACCTTTTCTTTCTATCATGATGTTCAGCAAACCTGTAAGAACTCTTGAGTTTTGGTGCATAAAGGGACTAGTGATTATCCACCAAGCACCATCCTAATCAATACTGGATGAGCCTCAATGCTTATGGCACAAGAGTAAGAATCAATTCAACTGCTCGGTTTGCATAGTAGAACATAACTGATATTTGCCTAAAAAACTAAACTGTATCTTCATTAACTCTCTGACCGTTGTGCTAGAGAATAAGTGTTTTCTTAGACAATGCTTAGAAAACTCAGAGTAGTTAAATATAAGATGTTAACTTGAATTCTAATATTGTTTTACATTGGTAACTATTTTCTTGCATTTGGATATAAATTTTAATAAAAGCTGACGAAGCTTGTTTTTTTCAAAAGATGATTTAATTTTGTATTTTTGAAAATATAGCCCATGGTGTAGTATACTTGCATGTTTTTATCTTTTTTTTACTCATATCTGTACCTTGTTACTGCCAAAGATGAACTTTAATGGGATCTTTGCTTGTATATATTTGTTTTAATAAAAGTTATATGTGTATGTATGTACACAAGTGTACATATAGAAGAAGTTATGATTTATGTCATTATTTTCAAGGTGGACAGTTTGTTTTTCCAGTTATTTGTTGGGAAGCAAACAAAAGTTGGTTAAGAATGGAGGGTTGCTGTGTGTGGTGGCTCACACCTGTAATCCCAATGACTCGAGAGGCACAGGTGGAAGGATCTCTTGAGGTCCAGAATTTGAGACTAGCCTGAACAACGAGACCCTGTCTCCTAAAAAGTTAAAAATGAGCTGGTAAAGATGAGATACACCTGCAGTCCCAGCTACTCAGGAGGCTAAGGCTCCCTGCTTGAGCCCAGGAGTTCAAGTTACAGTGAGCTATGATTGTACCACTGTACTCCAGCCTGGGACAGAGAGTGAGACCATGTTTCTAAAACAACAGCAACAACAAAAAGGACAGAGAGTGGTTTTATAATTACTTAAGCTATGCATCTGTTTATAGACAATAGACCTGTCTCTTTGGTTTTGGCATTTTTCTCTGCAGAATTTAAATTAGTTATTCATATGTATTCATGT